TGCAGTAATCAACCGTGGGAGCGTTTACCTGGGGATGTATGTGTCTACTTAGTGGCTGCTGAGTGCTCAGCCTGAGTGACAGGTGGCAGAAACCCAAGGCTTCCAGACTCCTTATCCCTCAAGCCTCAGGGGAGGAAACTGTGCAGACTGGAGGGCAGAGCTGCCCCAGCCCAGGGCCCAGCCACTGCTGCTCTTCCTCGGCCTTCTGCCATGGTGCAATCCTCGGGCCACACCAAGGCAAAGTGGTCCTCAGTGCCTCCAGTCCCCAGGCCACGTATTTAGGAAGGGGCGTCTCCAGGAAGGGGCCCATTCTGCCCCCGTGACAGTGACCAAGCCAGGGGGGACATGTCTCCATCTGAGCAATCCCGGGCCTCTCCCGGAGCCCGGAGTTACAGGAAGGGGCTCTTTATCAGGGATCGTAGAAGATGCCCCAAGCAGCCCACCTCGCCTTATCTGTTTCTTCACACCTGACCCCCACCGAGCCCAGCTACTCAGGGAGGACAGTCCCTCTTCTCCTGGAGTAGTTCCAGAGCCCAGTTAGGTGTTTGGGAGCTGGCAGGAGGAGAGGGGAGTTGTTGACTTTTTTTTTCCTTAAAGACGGTTAGCACTGAAACTGTGTGATTAAAGTAACTGTGTAATTAGGAACTAATTTCTCACTCTTGAAAGTGATGTCTTACTTGGGGCCTGAGGGAAGTCACCCATTCAGCAGTTTCGTTTTCACCTGGTTAGGAGCTAGGACGGGGGTCCAGAGACCACTTTCATAGTGACAGGAGGAGGGGATGGCTTTTGTATTTCAGGTGGCCTTGGGCACAGAGTGGGTGGTGGTGTTCTCACGATAGGTTGGTTTCCTGAGCATCTCCAGAGTGTGGCCAGCAGGTGAAGCTGGGCGTGAAGGTCAGAGACGGGAGGCATTCCTAGGGCCACAGCATGTGTGTGGGATGCTGCAGGTGCCACTGCTGTCACCCACCTCCCTGCACCCCACGCTGGGAATAGAAACCATGGCTTTGCACACGCTGGACAAGCCCTTGGCCTCTGTGCTGCAGCCCAGCCTTGCTGCCCCAGTACCTAGGCATCTCTGTTATCTTGGGGCTCCTGGATGGGGTCATAGCTGGACTGCCCCGAACAGTCCACACTGGCTCTTCACTTTCCCTCCCTTTCCGTGGTTGCTGGATAGTTCTTGAATAAATGAGCAGCCTGAAACCTTGACCCAGAAGAGGGGAGTCCATCCCAACCAGGAATTGTGGACTGTGAGGACTCAGGACAGGGGGTGATGGTGGATTTTGTACATGGACAGGAGTGAAATGAGCCTTCATGGAAGAAGAGAGAAAGGAGGGGAGGGCTCTGTGCCATAGAGTGGGGGGGCTGCCTAAGGTGCCCCATGAGCCTGGCTTGGCACCTGGGTCACTGAAGGTAGGAGCAGGGATGAGGGGCAAGGCCAGACTGTGGGGGCCTTGAGGGCTGTGGTCAGGGCCCGGGTGTTTTCCTGAGAGCAGTTTTAAGGAAGCACAGCTCCGTTGGAGGTTTAGATTTGTGATGTGCTTGGGCTGGGAGGAGGGGGAAGCAGGAGACGGGAGAACAGGAGGGCGGCTGTTGCAGCTGTCAGGAGAAAGGGACAGTGATGCAGTCTCAGCAGGGATGGTAGAGGTGTCAGCAGCTGCCCCAGGTTGGACTTGCTTGTGCAAGAGTCTCTGTCAGGATGGTGAGGTTCTCAGGGTGGAGACTTCAACACACAGTCCTGCCCCCCAGTCAAGCGCTCTTCCCTGCCCCTCCCACACGTGTCCAGCCTCCACTGTGCACCCAATGCGTGCTTCTTATCCCCAAATGAATTTAGATCATCGTGCATCTAATGTGTGCTTCTTGTGCACCTAATATGTGCTTCTTATACACCAAATGAATTTAGACCGTACTCCTCCCCGAGACAGGAAACATAGCTGTAGCAGAATGTCCCAGTAAGGTCATGGGGCGTTGAAGAAGGCTTAGGAGAAACTGCGCAAAGCCCTAGTGTCTAGTTGGTTCATGTGTTATAAACTTGGTAGTATCATGTTTTCCCTTTTCAATGGGCTGTCAGGAAGCTTGGAATTCAGATTGTGATATTAAATTCTACAAGAAGTCTCATGGGGGTGGGTTTTTTTTTTTTATTGGAGAGCCTGAGGGATGCACTGACCGTCTGAGGAAATTTTGCGGCTCATTGTAGAGGGTGTGCTCCTATCTCGAGACTGGAGGGCCAGGGTCAGGGTGGGGGGAAGAGGCGGGGCTAGCGCAATGTCTATCTGAGTCTTCTCCATCCGAGCTTCTGACTACTTCTGGGCTGCGGCTGCTCTGGCTCTTCTAGGGAGCTGAGTCTGAGGCCCAGCCTGTGATTCCGATCAACTTCCCACTGTGAGGAGGTGTTCACCACTGTTGTTTACTAACTGGGTAATCGTGGGCCTTGGTGATAACCAGCTTCAGCCCACATGCTGTCCAGCATCCAAGGAGCCTGTCTCTTCTCCCTGGTTGTGGAAGACGAGCAGTTTCTCGCCAAGATGCTGAGCCTCTCAGGGCAGCCTTATCCCAGGCTCTGGCTTTGCTCAGTGTTGATCATCCAGGCTGTGGGGCTCTGGAGGGGAGAGAGTGGGGCATGTGTCCATGTGGGGCCTGGAGTCAGGGACAGGCAGGGGTGTCCTGGGGACTCCCTGCTGAGGTTGCTCTAGAGCAGGGCTTTCCCTAAGGTTGACAGAGGCAGGCTGCACTTGTGTGTGTGTGTGAGTGTGTGTGTTTGTGTGTGTACTCAGGCAGAGGAACATAAGGGATCAGCAGGATAGGGCCCAGAACAGCCCTCCAACAGCCCCCGATTTTCTGTCTACCCCAACCTCTCAAGCCTGCATTGGTTCTTTTTTTTTTATTTCCCAGGGGTAGGAATGGCTCCGTTTCCCCTGTGTCCTGCACTAGGCAGGTATGCCACCTAGGGTTTTGGGCACAGTCCTTTTCCCATACCCGAAGCAGAATGTACACTGCACCTTCCTCATGACCAAATCCAGAGAACCTAGGTCAGCAGGAGGAGGGTCTATGGAGTGGGTGAATGCTGCAGGCAGCTCGTCGTGCCCAGGGTGTGTGTGTGTTTGTGTGCGTGAGTGCGTGTGCCAGAGAAAAACATGCCAAGGTGAACACCCAAGTGTGTGTGTGTGTGTGTGTGTGTGTGTGTGTGTGTGTGTGTGTGTGAGAGAGAGAGAGAGAGCATGTGCCGCCCCCACAGTGCCTCCGTCATAAGCATCCCCGAGCTGCTGGGAGAGCTTTCTACACAATATGAAAATGACAGTTCGGCTCACCCACGCATGGAACCCTCATGCAGCCTCCTCCTGCTGCCTGCTCGGGGCCCCCTCGTCTTCCCCCGTGGCCAGGCCTCAGTCTCACCTCCCTGCCGCCTGCTGCCCTGTGCCTTTCCCTCCTCTCTCTTCTCCCACCCCTGCTCGGATCTTTGTCTCTGATTCTAATCTCTGTCACTTTCCTTTGCTGTTACCCCTATCTGAATCTAGGCTAAAGCAGGAGTGTGTGTGTGTGTGTGTGTGTGTGTGAGGGTGTCCACAAGTGAGTGTGTGAGTGGATGAGCACCTTAGGTGTGGGCTTGTGGGGTTTGTGCACACTGAGCGGAGCCTGCGGGGTGTTAGGTATGGACAAGAGTCGGGGAGGGACCGGGGCATCCCAGGTGAGGCAGCTTTCGCTCAGTTACTCCTCAAGCGACAGGAGGGGGTGGCGGCTCACAACAGTTGGACAGGTTTATTGGGTGTGTGGGAAAGCCTTCATTTCCCACCCACCCTGCTGACATGTGGAGCTGGCAGCCATGGTGGGATGGGGGAGGCTCTGCTGAGTGATACCTGAGGCCGGTTGTTGAGGGGATCTTTCAGTGAGGGAGAGGACAGTGGTGCCTCGGCGGGAGGCATCTGACCCATGTGCAGACCATTGTATGGGTCTTCAAGGTCTGCTCTGTGTGAGATCTGGGAAGGCTCCCTGGAAGAGGCAACTGCCCGCAAAGCATTGCAGGGCGAGTGGAATGAGGAGTAGGGTATGGGGTGAGGCTGGAGAGAGGACTAGGGCAGTATGAAGCTCCAAGGCTGTCTCTTTGTTTGAGTCACCCCGTCCGGCAGGGCTGGGGTTTTAGACATCTTGGGTCCATAGTACTGACATTGGTCTGATGCACTCTGGACTCGGTGAGGCAAAGCTTCCAGGGCACAAGTGTGATTTCATCACAGATGTGGGGATGGTTCCTCCAGGCAGAAGAGACACCCGAGTGAAGGTCTTGGCTGGCTGGGGAGTGTCTGTGAGCCTGAAGTGTAGTTGAGCTATCCAGGGCTACTTAGTACTCTAAGAATACAGAACACCTACCATGTCTTTGAGATGTGGCACAAGATGCCCAGGCTGGTGTGATGTGGGCCAGAGATTGCTCTCTGCCTCGTGAGATGCTTGGCTCCAGCCTCATCAAAGGTGACCCAAGCCCGTAACATCATCTCTTACCCTCTTGCTTTCCTACTGGGACTTTGGCCCTCCCTTGGCTTGGTGGGCCCCTCTTAGGACCCTATCTCTGGTGGAGGCTCTGTAAGCTATTATTGATATATCAGTGACACCCGGTTTCCATGTGGTACCAGCCTGAGGTCCCTCAGTTCTCTGGTTTAGTCTGATGGCCAAGCATCCACACTGGAAGAGAAGCTCTAGAAGCAGAACTGACATAGTTCATTGGTCAGATGGGTAGGGCCTAGAGGGCAGGAGCCACTTGGCATGGGGCTGGCTCTATAGGAGGGACCAGTCTCTGTTCCTTCTTCCTGCCCCTGACTTTACCTGCAGAGTCCCTGTGACAGGCAGTCTTGCTGTTGCTAACCCTGCTTACAGAAGAGACTGAGATCCATCGTAGCTGGATCTTGGTCCCTTTCCTCAATCTTCTAGGGAGTGTGGGTGGCTACATGGTCCCAGCCTGGGACCTGGTCCCGAGCACTTTCTATAATGTCCCTCATTCTCTCTTTTCTTCATAGGATGGTCGAATACTCTCTGGACCTTCAGAACATCAACCTGTCAGCCATCCGCACTGTGCGCGTCCTGAGGCCCCTCAAAGCCATCAACCGTGTACCCAGTGAGTTGGACCTCCCTGCTCGCCCGTCACTGCTGCCCAGCTCGGCCTGTTTATTTACCCACAGTTCCTTCCTGGGCCAGATCTATGCTCACGTTGCTGGACACCCTTGCTCCCACTGAACTCATGGGCCAGCATGTGGTGCCCAGGAGTGCTAGGGAGGGGGTCTTGATGCCTCTGAGTCCTCAGATAACTTGGATTTCAGCACTTGGGAAGTCTGACTGCTCTGGGATAATGAGGGAGAATGAGCTTAGTGCTTCACTGGGAAGCCAGCCATGGCAGGCTTAGAACTTGAGTCTGTCACCTATTTTCCCTTAGGACTATTTCCTCATCTTCCCAGCCACCTTTCCATCCATTTACCCTTTGCCCATCCATCCATCTATCCATCCATCCATCCATCCACCCATCCACTCACATACCCACTCATCTGTATCTATCTACTAACCATGCACTCACACATTTGTCCACTTCTGTCTGTCTGTCTGTCTGTCTGTCTGTCTGTCTGTCTATCATCTCACCCACACACCTATCTACCCATTTACCCCACTTTCCACCTATCCACCTACTTATCCATCCATCTATCCATCTACCCACTCATCCGCTTATATACCTGTCCATCCATTCTATACCCATCTTAAATTGAGAGGTTGCCTTGCATCTACAAGCCCCGGGGTCTGCTCTGCATTGCCTAGTCTGTATTCCTTTGATGTTTTGAGCCTTACAATCACCTAGGGAGGGATCTGGGTTATTCTTATTTGGAGGATGAAGAAGCAGCCTTTAAGACATGGTTCGCTTCTCAAGGATGCACTGCCAGCCAGTAGCAGATGTAGGATGCCTCCTCCATGCCCTATGTTAGGAGTGGGAAGAGGTAGGGAAGGAAGGAAGAGGATTTGGGCTTAGGACTTTCAGATCTGTTTGGGAAGGCCAGGAGCTGTTCTTTCTTTTCTTCTTCTTGTGTATGCGTGCTAAGTGTGCATGTGTGTATGTGCATCTGCATGCACGTGTGTGTGTGTGTGTGTGTGTGTGTGTGTGTCCGTACATGCCTGCATGCATGGAGGCCTGAGGCTGATGTCAAAGAGCCTTCCTGGATCACTTTCTACTTATTATCTGAGACATAGTTTCTTTCTTTCCTTTTTTAATGTGAAAAGTTTATTGGGGGAAGGTAGGGGAGTAAGGGAAGAGAGAGAGAGAGAGAGAGAGAGAGAGAGAGAGAGAGAGAGAGAGAGAGAGAGAGAGAGAGAGAGAGAGAGAGAGAGAGAGTTTCTTAACTGAACCCAGAGCTTGGTGACGCAGCTTTGGTGGCTAGCCAGTTTGTTCTGTTTCTGCCTTCCAAGGGCTAGAATTACAGGCAGGCTTCTAGGATAACCTGACCTTTACATGAATCCTGGGGCTTAGAACTCCGGTCCTCATGCTTGTGAGGCAAGCACTTTCCCTACTGAGCTATCTCCTCAGCCCACCACATGGTGGATCTCAACCCTCAGTGCTCAGAACCATGGGAGGAAACTCTCAAACATATGTGAGATGCACGTGTTCAATAAGCATGTCTATCTGTCCTCCTGTGCTGCTAAGTCATGGACAGTGCCTGGGCCCCTCCAAGCTTAGGATGCAGGATGGGGATGGGCGCCTGAGCTGAGACCCATGAAACCTGGGGATTAGCTGGCAGTGGGAAAGACCAGTGAGGCAAAGGGGAGCGGGGCATGGCCAGAGCCATGAAGCCACTAACTAGCTTCTGACTGTTGGGAATGCCAGGTACTGGCTGCTGCAGGAACCAGATAAAGATCAGGGAGTGGGGCTGAGGCTGGAGGGGACAGGAGAGGTCATCAGGAGAGTTCCAGCCACAGCCCTGCCAGGAGAGTGGGGTGAGCTGGTCACTGAAGCTTCTCCAGTGATTAGGAAGCGATGGCTAAGGCTGGGCAGGGCAGAGGGAGGGAGGACGTACTCCTGAGCCCAGCCTAGGCCCAAGAGTCATTATTAGCATTAGCTCTGAACCACGAAGGGGAGGCATGGAGCATTGAGAGCATGCAGCAGGGGCCCTGCTCTCCTGGTCTCACCTGTAATGCTTCTTTTTCTGTCCTGGGAACAGCAGTTGTAGCTGCCTTAAGTACAGCTGTGTTCCTGTCGTGGAGCCTACAGGCCTGGTCACTTTGGATGCAAGGGGCAGGTGGCAGGGTGTCATCCACAGGGCATTAGTACAGGATCTCACATCATGGTCTATCGTGCCTGGGATCTTACAGGCATGGGACAGCCATGCGGAGGAATGGGAGTGAATGGGAGAAGGCCCAAAGGGATGGGACTGACATGTAGGGTGTGGGTCTTTCTCTTGTTAGAAGTTTTCTGGACTTCTGTGTGTGGATATGGAGACACTGTATGAACTCACAGGAGAACACATGTGCACATGTGTGTGCATGTAAATGGGTATGCACTTGAGGAAACGTAAATGTACCCTGTCATGGTGTCTGCCTCTCCTAGGAGCATATGCGGAACCTGGGCCACCCTGGATGGCTGTGTACAGAGCTTGTTAAATGGCTTGGGACTGAGGTGGTTACTCCATGCCCCAAGTTTGCCTATTCTCTGGAGCAGGGCAGGGCAAGGGTCAGTCTTAAGCCCGGCATCTCCGTGTTTCTGGAAGTTCCAATTACTGAGGCTCTGTGTGCAGATAGCCAAGGGAGGCTCCAAGCCTTTCCACACTTTTAACAGCTAATGCCCCCCTGGGAGCCCTTGGGTGTCCTCTCAGCTGATGGGCACCTCTCTCAGAGTCCAGCATTGTGGAGATGCTGACAGCATGAGATCCCAGGATCCAAAATACTTGCAGATTGAGTAAGCAGCTGTGTTCCAGGGAAATGACCGTAGGATGAACAACTTCCCTCCCCCGTTCCTCCTTCCCCTCTTCCCTTTCTTCTTCCTCTCTCTCCTCTTCCTCATTCCCTCTCCTCTTTACCCTCCTCCCCCCTCCTCCTCCTCCTCCCCTCTCCTCTTCCTTCTTCTCTTTTTCCATCATTGCCTCTCCCTTCTTCTTGTTTTTATTTTGAGGCAGGGTCTCTCTACATAGCCCTGGCTTTCCCGGAACTTAGTGGATCAGGCTGTCCTTGAATTCACAGACATCTGCCAGCCTCTGCCTCCTGAGTGCTAGGGCCAAAAGAGTGTGCCGCCACGCCTGGCTTGAATTCACCTTCTCTAGATGAGCCCCAGGAGTGTGTGACAGTTAGAAAATGGGAGTCCCTGAAGTCCAGCATCTCAGCCCCTCAGTCTGCAGGGAAGCCTTCTATGTCCCTGACTGCCCTGTTTTCCTCTAGGAGTCACCAGGTAATAGTGACCAGAGAGGGGCCTGGGCTCCTTAGCTGTGTCCGCCTTGGGATGTGTTCAGCAGTAGCCTGCAGCTCTATGTTTCACCACTAGATGGCGAGCTAGAGAGCCAGCACTGGGCAGTCAAATGATCAGTAATTAATCCGGAAATCAGGGAGGAAGGATACCAGAACCTTAAAAAATGTAGTGGAGGAAAGAGCCCCAACATGATCACCTAGAGAGACTCAACTGGGGGTCAGAGAGTGCAAGTCCTGTTCTCCACTCTGCTGTGACGTGGGCCTCAGTTTCCCTGCTGGCACGGAGCAGAAGAGCTGGATTAGTTCCTACGGTTCTCAGCTTTGTATGAGGTGGGTAGGGGACCCAGAAATCAGGGCTCTCATCACAGAATTCTCCAAAATATGTCCCTTCAGCCCTCCCCTGCAGTTTCCTTCTCAGTTCCCGCCTTTGACGGGCGAGCGACAGGAGATGGGGGACAGCGGAGGAGAGAGGTGGGAGGCTGGGCTCTGGTTCTTCACTCTGCAGCCGCTCATCACTCACTGCTCTCCTCTGCGTCTTAGCCTGGTGGGCCTGGGCCATCTGTAAGCCCGTGTCCTGCCACCAGCCCCCTCGGCCTGCCTCTGTCTCTGCCTCCTCTAAGTAGCCACAGCGTTTCCCTGGGCCCCATTGGTTGACTCCTTCCAAAGAGAAAAATTGGTTTTTGCCTCCAGTTAGAAACCTGGGCAGTCACCACGGAGCACAGAGCATGCTGCAGCTAGGTATTGCACTCCAGGCTAGGCTGTTACAAGGGTGTCTCACAACCTCCAGGGTCCTGAGCTGTTCTTGGGCTTACAATTGCGGGCTCTGCCACAACCTACCTTCCCACAGGGGCAAAGGTTGTGCTTCAAGGCACCTGTGGACGGGGCGGGAGTAATGTCGGCAGTTCTGCTGGGACCCCCAGCCTCAGGTCTCCCTACTGTGCTGTCAGCCCCTGGTTCCGGTTCAGCAAACCCTGTCTGCTCTGTCTTTGAGTCCCCCAACTAGAAAGTGGAGTTGGTCTTTCTAATCTCTGTCCTGTTGTGTGGCTGAAACGACATGGTGTGCTTGAAGGACTTCCTGCAGGATGTCAGGTGGGAGAGGCGATGAGGGGTTCTGTGATGAGGACCCGGGGTCTTGGGGGACATAGTTGTAGAGGCTGGTCTTAGAAGAGCCCATCCAGGACTCGGAGGTCTCAGGGTGAGGGCGGGTATTCCTGCAGACAGAGCGTGACACTGAGACATCCTGGGGCTGCCGTGGCAGCTCAGGAAACTGCATGCTGGGAGGGGTACGAGTGTGTTACCCATCACTCACCGCCTCAGATAGTTCTCCATGCACGCCACGCCATTTTGCCTAAACGACAGGATGGAAATTGGTACAGTTATCTCTGCTCCCTTGTTGGAGGACTCAAAGACAGAGGAACATAGCAGGAGGGGGTGGCTTACATGTGGGATTTACTGACAAACGGCTGGAGTTTATCAAGCGCTGCCTCACAGGGCTGTTACTCCATCTTCTAATAAGTTATAGGCTATTAGGATTGTGTGATGTCCCCTTTACAGCTGGGGAATTGGAGACTCAGTTTTGGGGTGCTGAGCTTTCTGTTGACTGAGGTGTGGCAGAAGCAAGTACAGGGGATGTACCTCTCTGGTCCCCAGGTCTGCTTTCGCCCCTCCTATCCAGATAGGGTC